AATCCTATGAAGCAGGGACTACAGATATTATAACTAACATTTCACAGACAGGGAAACAGACTCAGGCATGAGATGACTTGCCTCTGATCACACAGCTAGGTGGATTTGAACTCAGGTCTCTTCTTACTTGAAGTCCAGACCTTTCTCTACTCTGCTCCCTTTTTACCTTTCCTGAGTCTTTTGATTAAGATATATCCTCTTCCAGTGTCATATTCTGGTCGCGGGTCTCATTCCACTAATTATGTGTTCATTTTAATTTAGACAAGTACTGTGATTATTCATTAAAATCTGATAGACTAGTGTTATAACTTCAAGTTTTCTCATATATAAATTGAGTGAATTGCATTGTATGATCACTAAGATATCTTCTACTTTTAAAATTCTGAGCCTTTGAACATTAGCTAACAATCCTATACTTACTTAAAAAGATCCAAATAATTTTATAGGAAAAATATGAACCTCAAGATAAACAGCCACTTGTAACTATATATTCACCCAGTACTCTACATAACTACTTAAAATATATTGTGAATGATATATTAAACTGCTATTAAGTTAATCAGTGATTGAGCAAAAGAGGAATAATGTTAGTGACAAAACCAGGACTAAAACAAAGATCTCCTGACTCCCAGTCCAGTGTTTCGTTTGATGAAGCCAAGAAAGTTTTATCTTTAAGACGAAGATACAGGAATGAGTGTTTTTTCTCAAGAAGGGTATCTTAAAATAAGAAGAAAGACAGATTCCAGAAAAATAGTCAAGAGGAATTTACCAAATATCGCAACAACGTGTTCTAGTTTTAGATTTAATTGTTAGGTAGTTTTTCTTAATACTGAACCAAAAGCTGCCCTTCTGTCATTGCTACTCACACAAGCAGAAATCCAACTTTCTATGTTGAAACAGTAAATGAAAAAAGGTCTTTAAACTCAGTGGAGAAAAGAGGGAGGTTTGATGTACATACCACTTTTCTCCTTTGTGTGGGTAGGGTGGACATTTTCATAATTCTGTTATATTTCCCTGGTGGGAAAAGGTCAGATAAAAGACTCATTTTCACTTGCTGGCTGAACAGAGAATTAAAAAAGGCTCAGCTCCTCCTTCCTTTTCTTATTTACAATGCAAACTACACTGAATTAGGTACTCTTGTTACAGTGTTGCTGTTAAATGGACAAGGACCAGATAAAACATGTTGTATAGGATAATTTGCCAATAATAATTCATTGCAACCAAGTCAACAAAATACTAAGGCCTACATCCCATGAGACACAGAATTCACTTTGTGCCTTTCCTTTGTGACAGTATTTATTATAAATGGATTTTATCTGTAATATTGTTATTCCAAAAGGCTTCAAAAATACTTTGTTTTCACAACTACCCTGCAAAAACAGGGGCAGAGTTATTTTTCCACTTTAAAGATGGAGAAATTAACACACACATTAAATGATGTTATTATCTCAAGATTACAGTTTTATAGCAGAACAAGGACTGAAACTACCTAGACATCTTGCCTTTTAGTTCAGTAATAATCCTGCAAAAACCAAAGTTACCAGTTAAAAGAATCATCGTTATCACCAATTCAAAATTAAAAGGGAGTTCAACAGCCAGCCTATACCCAAAAGGAATCTAGGTCAACCTATATCCAAAAGGAATCCCTCCAAAATAACACACCCAAGTAAATATTCGGTTTCCACTTAAGACCTTGAAGGAGGGATAACCCAACCACCTCTCAAGGCAGTCTATTTCAATTTTGGGCTGCTCTAATTGATAGAAAGTTTTTCCTCTATTACTATATAGGCTTTTAACATGAGGGTATATGTTCTTTTTACAACACCACAGTGAATTCTGTTAGAATACAGCACTGTTTCCATTAGTTAAGGTCTTGAAGGAAAGTGACTGAACATTGTAGTACATGAAAGTAAGAAATGTTAAGTAAGGAAATCAGAGAAACTTAGCACAACTTACATGAACTGATACAGAGCAAAATAAGCAGAACTATAGCTTGAAGACCTGAATAATGTGAAAGAAAACAATATCAAGAGACTTCAGAATTTTGACCAATCAGTGTCCAAATGGGACTCCCTAACACTGATACTGCCTCCTACATCTCTAGCAGAGAAGTTGTGTTACACAGGCACAGAATAAGGCAAGCATTTATAGGCATGGACGATGTTCTCCTATATATGGCTTGACTGTATTTCAGAGTTCTACTGAAAGTAGAAATGATTTTTTTAAAAGTATCAATAACACATATAAAGGAGAAAAAAGGTACAAGAACCTGACAGAAAAGCAACAGTCAAATTTTCTCTAATATGACACCTAAGTCACTTATTAAGTACAGAATGGGGCTTAGGAAGACTAGTAGCTGGCCAGTCCTTAACCACTTCTGGGAACCTTAACCGGGACCTTTCCCACCTACACAAGTTAATAGGGAATCCAGGTGATGAGAGCCCTAAAGGGCATAGGGGGATTCCCTGCCAGCTAAAAAGCATTAGTATTTTCACTGCTAGCTATTTCATAAAACATAATCATTACTTCATAAAGTACTTTCTTTGCTCTCTTTGCTCACAGCACTGTCCTAAATGAAAGAAATTGTCAATACATTGTGCATAGGTTTTGAGGTTTAATGGATATTATTATCTGATCTGAAGCATAAATTGTTCTCTTCCCAATATCCCCAAATAATTAGCCAGTCTCCAAATGTTTATCTACCTCCAGTAACAAGAAAGGCAAGATTTTATAAGACAGTTAAGCTGTTTGTGTACTGAAATGTATGTCCCTGTAAACTCATTAATCTTAGCTCTGCAAAGCTCAAATAATTTTTATCCAATTGTTTTTATCTCATTGTGTTTTGCTAATTCTTTACATCTAGTCTGATGACAACTGAATTAAAATGGGAAAAAAGGACCAAACTTGGGCCAGAAGAAACATGAAACAAGTATAAGAGGCAATGAAGTACTGGGCAGGGGGAAGGAAGATGGCACGATAAACATGAATGATCATAAGCAGCTAAATAAATTGTTTACATTCTAACATGGGGAAATGATATAGGTGTTTTTTCAGGTCTCATAGAGGGAATCTAATTAGAAAGAAGGCCCGGGAGTGGTTCTGTTAAGTCTCGAAGATCTTAAAAGAACAATGGAAAGGTAGGGGGAGAGGAATACACTATAGGAGGACAAAGAAGAATGTTAGGGGAGATTATCTCACGTAATCAGGGTGTGCAAGTAGAAAAGACTATTCAAACAAGGAGAAAGCCTTGGGGGAGTAGCTGACACTTGAACATTACTCTCTGCACTGGTTAAAGGAAGAAAGAATACACACACACACACACACACACACACACACACACACACACACACACACAGCAGAGTAGGGTAGAGTAGAGAAATACATTTCACTCAACATGGAAAAAAGAGGGAAAGCAGAAAAGGAAAAAGGGGATTTGGAAGGAGGATAGATTAAGGGAGAGAGTAATCCTAAATAAAACAACCTAAGAAGATACAAAATATTTATAGCTCTTTTTTGTGGTAGCAAAGTATTGCAAACTGAGGGGGTGCCCATAAACTGAAGAGTGGCTATATAAATGTAATAGAATTAATACTGTGCTGTAAGAAATGATAAAAGAGATGGTATCAGAGGAATTTGGGAAGATTTATATGAGCTGATACAGAGCGAAGTAAGGAGACCAAGGAGAATGACAATACTGTAAAGACAAAAAATTTTGTTTTTGTCCTTGTTTCTGCAGTCCTTAGCACTTAGTAGCTAGCATACATTAAGTTATATTCCTAATGAATAAACCAATATCATACTAACCCCTCTTCAAAATTTTCCTATGCTTCTACTTTTTAAGCCTTATACAAATGCTCAATTCCTCTTTTTAAAGTTACATTTTTATTTTCAATTATTAAGCATTTTTTCTCACTCTCAACATTAGCATAATTTTCTTATATTTCTTGCTTTTTTTTGCCTTTTATAAGTCTGGAATTCATTATCATAAGTTTCTTTGTACAGTACAGCTAGATGTGTTGTGCAGCCACATTACCAGTATATTAGTTACCACTGAACTATACTAGCTGGAAAATTTTCAGCTTAACACTCCCTGAAAAAATGATGTGCTTTAACATAGTGGTGCCCTCAGGAGTTACTGAAATGATATGGATCAAATTGTCCTCTCACTCTCGGCAGATCTCTGGATGCTGTGCCTACAGTACTACCCAAGGAGGTCTTTGAAGTCCTACACCACAGGTCTGCTCTCTGCCCCTCTCACCTCATCCAGGTTATAGAGCTGTTGTCATTTTTCTTTGCTGCTGTTTTTTCCTAATTCTTTAACTCTTCTACAATGTCTGCTGTTTGCCATCTCCATGACTGCTGCTTCTGTTTTAGTTTACTGTTCTCTTCCTTCTTTTTTCTTTACTTTTTGCATTCTGTCCCTTCTGAAATTGCTTTCTGTAGACTTTTATAGACTTGCTTGTATACATGCTATATCTTCCCAGTGGGACTTAATTTTCTTGGGGCAGGGACTGTTTGGTTTTGGTTTTTTTGCATCACTAGTACCTATACCACGGTGCCTTAAGCAGAATAGGGGTTAAATACAGCACTGAACTACAGCTTAGCAGCCACTGCCAACTAGAAATGCCCTCTCTTTCCTATAACCTTTCCCACATTTCTTAGCATAATTGTGAAACAAACTATTAAAGTCATCACTAGCTGATGAGATGTTTAAAGTTGCTGGACATCTGACCTCCAGCTAATATGAAGGCACATGCTTTTCTGAGCAGTAGTGACATGGCATACCAGAAACTTAACTGATCAATTTATGAACTATATAACAGAAGTTCCTTTTTATTTTTTCTGTTTAGGTGAAACACAACCAAAATTCTAAAAGATACTTGAAAAAACAAACTTGAGTAGCATCTTTAAAATCCATTAAATTAAATGGGGGTCTTGTGACAATTGAAAAAAATAGCAGTTATACATTTAGCAAAATGGATAAACACACTTTACAATACCTTTTAAAGCTTCTGTTTCTATGTCTATTAATGGCTTTCCCACAAGGGCAATCTGATCTACACCATAGTAGAGTTTTCTAATGATACCATCATAACGACTAGTGATGGTAACAGAAGCTTTATCACTTTGAACTTCACAGATGCTATCAAACTGAGACACAGTATCTCCTTCTTTTACATACCTAAAACGAAAAACATAAAATTACATAAACAATTTAAAATACAAAACATCCCAAGAATATATCTGCTATATGAGGTCAGATTGATAAGCTATCCCACTTAGTATACTATCTTTCTGAGAGAACAGCTTTTTTGTACAAGACTACGGATGCCATCCACATCAACCCAAGAAATCTACAACTATATCCCAAACATCCCTAATCAACCTCAAAACCAAGTATCCATTAATTAACGTAACTCTTTTTTTTTTTTTTAAGTGAGGCAATTGGGGTAAAGTGACATGCCCTGAATCACATAGCTAGGAAGTATTACATGTCTGAGGCCGTATTCGAGCTCAGCTCCTCCTGAATCTAGAGAGTCAGTGCTCTATCCACTGCGCCACCTAGCTGCTCCTAAGTCTTTCTTAAAACTAATATTTTCTATTCTGTATCAGTTTCCTTATCTGTAAAATTAATGGGTTAGAGTTGATAATCTCCATGTTGTCTTCAAGTTCCAAATCCTTTGACCCTAAGATCTCTTAAGAAAATGGCTTCCACAGATACACATGCAAAGTAGTACTTCCTTTTATCTTATATTTATGTCTACGAACTTCCAAAGGGTGCCCTTTATCTATACAATTTTGGAATCTATTCAACAAACCCATCTTCCCTATTCATTCCCTTCTCAATTTTGCATACTTCAGTTACACTCATTTTGAGTTTTCACCTTTCCAGACTAAAAAAAAAAATAGGACAGCAGGGTAATATGGGGGGTGGGAGTGATCTAGTTTTTCAAATTTTTTCTATTTCCATATCTTGGCATCCTCAGCAAATGAGCTGAGGATGAGGAAGTAGGTTTTGTTCTACTTTATTTTTTTATATGAAGGTTTTGGAGAGAGAGAAAGATGATTTTTAAGTTAAGCGGGAATTTTTGCATCTAAATAACTTTGAAGATGATTACAACAAGATTGTTACAACCTTATATAGACAAACTGTCAGATACAAGGTAAAACAGAAGTAGTTGTCATTTTAGTATAGGCTACACTACAGACTTTAAAAACTTTTTCACTATCAAGTTTATAAACATCAGGTTTCAGTACAAGTCTTAGGTCTTCATAAATGCTTATTCAAAAATACCTAAAAACTATATTGTTATTAGATACTGCACTTCTCAGGGATTCATTTGTACTTTCTGGGGATTGAGAGCGTGTAAAGAGGAATACATAGAGAAGAAAATGTTTGAGAAAACAAAAAAGGACAGACATGATAGGCAGGTTTTCAAGTAACTATGTCATATTGCTATTTTATGCCACCAAGCATATTGTTGGATGGGACAGCTAGGCACAGCAGTAGATAAAGTGCCAGGCCTGGAGTCAGGAAGACTCATCTTTCTGAGTTCAAATCTGGCCTCAGACACTTACCACCTACCTGTGTGACCCTGGCCAAGTCACTTAAACCCGTTTGCCTCAGTTCCTCACCTGTAAAATGAGCTGGAGAAGGAAGTGGAAAACCACTCCAGTATCTCTGTCAAGAAAACCCCAAATGGGGTCACAAAAACCTGAAACGACTGAACAACAACATATTTCTGGAACTAGTTCTAAACGTTCAATTGAAAAGGCTATTTTCTCTATAAAAGGCTATTTTCTCAGTGGCACAGAGCACCAGGCTTGGAGTCAGGAAGTCCCGAGTTCAAATTTGACCTCAGACAATTACTAATTGTATGACCCTGAGCAACTCATCTCTGTTTGCCTCAGTTTCCTCACATGTAATATGGAGTTAAGAATAGCACTTAACTCCCAGGGTTGTTGGGAAGATTAAATAAGGTGACTATAAAGTGCTTAATACAGTGCCTGGTACAGAGTACACACTATATAAATGTTAGCTATCATATAATAATAATTATTATTCAATGTAAAGATAAACCCTGTTTATGATTATTCAAACAATTATCTTCTTTTATAAGTATTGAGCTTTTTGGATTTTGTTTTTTTGTGTTTTTTTTTTTAGGCAATTGGAGTTAAGTGACTTGCCCAGGGTCACACAGCTAGTGTCAAGAGTTTGGTCTGAGGCCAGATTTGAACTCAGGTTCTCCTGACTTCAGGGCCGGTGCTCTACCCACTGTGCCACCCAGCTGTCCCAAGTATTAAGTTTTTTCAAGAAAAAGGTCTAGTCAACTTACCATTCTTTAATTGTCACTTCTGTAATCCCTTCTCCAATGTCTGAGAGTTTAAACTGAAGGATTTGTCCATTTACAGCTTCAAAGAAAAGAAACCATCATAAATGTATACCGCATACACAAATATATTAACACCTTTTTTCCTCAAAGATTTCAGAATGCTTTCTGATTATATTCTCAAAAGATCCCACAAGGTTGGAAAGGGAGGAAATTACCATTTTTTTACATGCGAAAAGCTTTAAGAATTTGCTTAAAGACACATAGTAAATTGCCAAAACAACAACTAGAACCATGTGTCCTGACTGACAGCATGGTGTTCTTTCTATGTAAGGGCCATCCAACAAATTAATGGTTTCATTAATCAATTAATAGTCTTCACATAGTCAAATAAAGGTGATAATGAAAAGCCTTGAGAAGGGAGTAACTTGCTAAGGGAAAACTGTACAAAATGATAGCAAGAGCCTAAAGAAACCTGCTTCTGGCTGCTTTTTTGTGCAAGTTGGATTGGAAGATGCCACTTACTGTAGTTTCTTATTAGATTTCTTGATGATTATTTGGTCTGGTGCCAACTTCAGGGCTTTGTCAAAGTAGATATGTGGGAGCTGAGAGGCCTAGCTCTCATTCAGGCAGTCAGCTTGGACAGAAGTCCTTTCTTCCCTTTCCTTTTCTCTCAGCCCTTTTGCACTCATTTACTTTGCTTCCTCAGGAACCCCACCTGGCATCTCACACATCAGGCAGTAGTTCTGGTAGTATATACTGGTGGTCCTTTCAGGCTCAGGGAGGCCATTTGGTTCCTTGCCACCTGAATATTAAAAAGACTGAGCCAAGCAGGAACTGGCTATAGAGAATATACCTGAGCTCTGACAACAAGTGAGATAACTGTCCTGAGTCTTGGGGGTAGGGATGGGGTGGACAAATAAGAGTAGCATTTTGTATCCTTTTAACTTAGAATTTGATTCTTTTAATGTCTCAATTAGTAAAATGTTTTTTTTTAAATTATATGCTGTATGAGTGACTCAGTGCATTTCAACTCCAAAGCTGGAATAACTATATAGGCCTGGGTTAAGCCTTGCTCACAACACTCTGTTATCCAGTATGTTCGCTATTCCTCCTACTACACCAATCTGAAAAGCATGCCATGCTCTCCAACTCATCATGTTGTGGAAGACCAGGAAACATGGCAGTTCCACCCAGACTATATGTCACTCAAGCCCAGGACTGTGCTCAGTATTTGTCCTTAGAGTGGAGAAAACTGCACAAAAAAATACCATATGCAATGGGTCAAGTTCAAACAAAGTCTTCTTTATATAACAGGATCATTATTTAAGGCAGGAACCACTCTCTGGAGAGTCTCCTTGGAAGACAGTTTCCTTAGCTCTAATAGTAGTTTTGGTTGGTATGGAGAAAATTCCTGCTAACTGTTGTATTCTCCAGAATCATCACCATGCAGGAAAGGAGCACATGAAGAGCAGCTGCTGCTAATGGTCACCTTAAGACAGCTAACTTCTATTCAAGTGTATCCTTAAATAAAACCTATGCAAACAAACCAATCAGGAGTGTGCTCCATTTGTCAGATTATGGGAATCTTTTAAACTGAGTAGCTATTACTAAAATACTAAAATGTGGTTCCTAAAAATGAACATAATATGCTAGAGATGGTCTGAACAGGGCAGAATATACCAATATTAACACACTCCTGGTCCTAGAACTATCTCTTTCTTAACAGCCCCAAAAATGAATTAGCAAGTCAGTCAAGTACCATTTATTAAGCACTTACTATCTGCTGTCTTACTATGTACTAAATGCTAGGATACAAAGAAAGGCAAAAAACAGAACTTGCCCTCAAGGAGCTCACACTGTAATGGAGGAGACAACACGTGAATAATTATGTACTGTATATACAAGGTAAATACAGAATAGATGGAAGGCAAACTGCGAGGGAAAGGCATTTGCACTGGGGGCACCTGAAAAGGCTTCCTACAGAAGGTGAGACTTGATCTGAGTCTTGAAGGAAGACAGGGAAATCATGAGCTGGAAGTGAGGGACCAAAAGGCATGGAGGAGAGCCATTTCAAAGACACAAAATGAGGAGGTGCAGTGCTATAGTCAAAACTGCAACAACCATTGTGGTGAAGGCAGCCTCCAGGATGAGGAGATGCCGCAAATAAAGGAGAAAGAAGTCTAGAAAGTCAGGAGCAGGGCCCAGAGGATACTATAGATACAATTTATATAGATTTTAGCAAAATATTTGATGAAGTCTTTCATGAAATTCTTTTAGAAAAGATGGGAAATTATTTTATAAATGATAGTTCAATTAGGTGATTTTAGAATTAGTTGCATGACCACGCTGGAAGAGCAATGACTAAATAGGCATTTTACTGTCGTTTCACTACTACAGATGCACATTCTCCCTTTGCCACAAACTACACAGTAAATATGAGATAGCCATTTCACAATTCTGTTTGAACCTCAGAGTGAAAGAAGGTTGGAGTATGGAGGGTTCATGTGAAGGCAACTAACCCCCAATATTAGAACAATTGAGAGAAAGTGGAACAATTACCTTATTTACTGTTACAAGTTCTAGGTAATTACTTCCCAGGTTCTTTAAAGTACTCTGAAGTGCTTGGAGGAAAATAATCACGTGACATAAAACACTCAAATATATTATGTTTCCTGCTAAAGTCCATACTTACTACTAGTTGTTCTCAATAACCGATGTGGATGACTAAACTTGAAAGAAGAATAACCAAAGAGACATGTATATTTTGGCTTCACAACATGAACACTACTGCACATTTGAATATGATGAACACAACTCTAGAGGAACAAAAAGAAAGTTAAATTTTTATAAAAATTATACTGATAGGTTTTTATCAAATATGTACTTTAGTATTAAGTTTATTTTAAATTAAAATAGATATTAAAAACTAGTTAGTTATATAAAGAATTAGAATGTGCAGCAATACAGCAATAAAAACCATCCAACCTATGCTGTTTTGTTTAATCAGTCACTTAGCAATAACAGCTAATTTTATTCATATTTCTATATTTTCACAAGGTTTTCTATATAAGCATATAAGACTGCCCCAACCAACATAATTTTATAATTATTATTACTATAACATAAGCAAACAATACTACAAAAGATCATTTGGTGAATTACCCACTTAAAATGGTGTTCCTAATTCCTCCCTCCCCTATAACATCATTTCACCTAACATTGTATTTTTAATACCTTTATATGAAATCAACAAAAGTAGAAATATTTACTACAACATGTTTTTAAACCTAGTCCAATGAAGAGATTTAGGTGGCCTATTTAGTACAGTTTCCTCCTTACAATTAGATTTATTCTCTTACTTAATCACAACTCCTTAGATATATTTTTATTCTATATATATATATAACTATATATAGTATATTTTCATAATGTCCTACGTGACACAAAATTAGTAAGAAATGTTAAAATTCAATGTAATGAATGAAAAAATGAATGATCAGAACTTAAAGAACTATCTGTGAAGTTGGACTAGATAATCTCTAAGGTCTCTTTCAGCTCTAAAAACAGTAATTACAGTAATTACAGGCTTATATTTGCACAGTGGTTTCAAGCTTGCAAACTACTTTATTTATATTATCTTATTTCATCATCAGAACTCTGTAATGTAAGTACTACAGACATTATTATCCTATTCACAAAAGAGGAAGCTGAGCCTTAGAAAGGTTGACTTGCCTGCCTGGGTCCAAGCAAGCGATTACATCGTGATTGATGCCTATGACATGGTTAAAATGTTTTATTGTTATCCTGATAGATTTTCTTGCTGTAATTTAAAGGTATAACAATTACTTAATCATGACATTTGAGTAGAATCACTGAGTTTTAAAGGTGGAAGGGACCTTAGAGATTATCTAGTCTAATGGAGGCTTTTATTGTGGATAACAAAACTAATGAACAAAATTTATTAAGCAACTATTATTCTAGTCACTATGCTAGACACTCAGGATATAAAGACAAAAACCTCCACAAGATATTTATTTATATTCCACTTCAGGAAGTAACATGTACACATATGGGTAGATGCAAAAATATATACAAAGATAATAAGAGGTAATGAGGTGGGAGGAGAGAATAGGAGGTGCCAACAAATAAGAAAGGTTAAATAATTTACCCAGGTCATGACAGCTGATTAGTAGCAGAACTAGGACTAAAACCCAGGTCCTTTGATTCCCAGGACAGTGGTCTTTCCATTATACCATGCCAGCCTGTTTTTGATGTAAGAGGGGTGTGTCGTATATGCCCCACCCACCTATCCATCCACCACATACTTTTATCAGGTGAGAATGCCTTTTTGGCATTACAAAATCTATATATGTAATATTTGGAGTTACAAAATCAATATATATAAAATTGGTATGAATAACTCAGATACCCTTGAATCAAATCAAAGGGATAAAATAGGTGCAAAAAAGCCCTTAATCAATTTGGAAGGAATGAAATACTTATTACGTGAAATGAGATAATGCTACATGGGAATGATATTGGGGCGGGATGAAGAAAATCGGTCACATCCTGTGGGGTTTGGATAAAACAGTAAGCCAGTTTCAGAGTACAGTATCCCCAAAGCAGGCCAGCTTAGGATGGAGCAATTCCTGCCAAGCTTTTTTTTTTTTTTTTAAAACATTTATTAATTAATTTATCTTTAGTTTTCAACATTCACTTCCACAAGACATTGAGTTCCAAATTTTCTCTACATCTTGCCCCCCACCCCCACCCCAAGATGGCATGCATTCTGAATACCCCTTCCCCTGATCTGCCCTCCCTTCTATCACCACCACCCCCTTCTCTTATCCCCTTTCTCTTCTATTTTCCTGCAGGGCAAGATAGATTTCTATACCCCATTGCCTGTATATCTTATTTCTCAGTTGCACGTGAAAATGATTTTTAACATTTGTTTTTAAAACTTTGGGTTCCAAATTTTCTCCCTTCCTCCCTCCTCACCCACCTCATTGAGAAGGCAAGTAACTCCATACAGGTTATTCATGTGTAGTCATGCAAAATGCTTCCACAGTAGTCATGTTGTGAATAACTAACTATATTTCCCTTCATCCCATCCCATGCCCTCCTTTATTCAATTCTCTTTTTTGACCATGTCCCTCCTCAGAAGTGTTTGCTTCGGATTATCCCCTCCCCCAATCTACCCTCTCCTCTATCATCTCCTTGCTCTCTTATCCCCTTCCTCCCTATTTTCCTGTAGGGTAAGATAGATTTCCATACCCAATTGAGTGTATATATTATTCCCTCCTTAAGCCAAATTCAATGAGAATAAGATTCATTTATTCCCTCTCACCTGCCCCCATTTCCCCTCCATTGTAAAAGTCTTTTCTTTTCTGTTTCATGTGAGATAATTTACCCCATTCTACCTCTCCCTTTCTCCTTCTCCCAGTTTAACTCTCTCTCATCCTCTAATTTTATTTTATTTTATTTTTAGTTAGGCAATTGGGGTTAAGTGACTTGCCCAGGGTCACACAGCTAGTAAGTGTCAAGTTTGGTCTGAGGCCAGATTTGAACTCAGGTACTCCTGACTTCAGGGCTGGTGCTCTATCCACTGTGCCACCTAGCTGCTCCCTGTAATTTTATTTTTTAGATATCACCCCTTCATCTTCAACTCACTCTGTGCCCTCTATCCAACTATCTATCTATCTATCCATATATACATATAATTTTTTCCCCTCCAACTACCCTAATACTGACAAAGATCTCATGAGTTACAAATACCATCTTTCCATGTAGAAATGTAAATAGTTCAACTTCAATAAGTCCCTTATGATTTCTCTTTCCTGTTTACCTCTTCATACTTCTCTTGAGTCTTG